ACTACCACTACTACTACTGCTGCTAGTTTGCTTTGCGAATCGCAAACGCTCAGAAATGTCCAAGCGTAGGAGGCACCGCGACACCATAAAGTGCCGGCTGCTCTTGGAAGCGCATTTAGCTCGGATGTGAGAAAATCATTTCAAGCGATTCCCGAAAAGATCACCGGTCCGCAGACCCCAGCATGCTCACAAGGGTGAGGTTCCAGGAACTACAAGTAAGGCAAGAAGTGGGAATAACAACAAGTGCTATACCGCCCGGGCCGACAACGGCAAAAAGCTGGAATCGTGGCCTCACTGTGATGGCTATATAGGGCTGGCATCTGGACACAGACGATGTTTCATGCCAAAGAGCTTGCATTCACAGGAGATGTGTCACCTTGGTCATTGCCTGTGGGCAAAGAGAGCGAGTGCCGAGCATGAAGCGATAAAGACTGCTTGAAGACCACCGAAAGACAGCGTAGCATGACCTTGGCATTCATAAGTTTGGCGTCACAGTTTCGTGCGCCGGACTGCTTTTTCTCCATTTGCATTGGGATCAGCACCACTCCGGATTGAAGCCCAGCCCACGTAGTCTTATATTAACATTCACATCCAACTTGCTGATCTGATTTGAATGAAAGCCAATCAGAACCACGCGATTTCCTGCCCGTGGAGTTGTAGCATGCTCCGTTGAGGGGGAGAACCTAGTGGGAACGTCAAGCCATCAGACATTGAGGATCACGCAGTCACAGATGTCCTCTTTCCCAGGTATGTTTTGGAAATTGGCAGTGTTCTGCATATCACGATGGGGAGTGCTCATCACATTGAGCGCCAAAGTGAGCGCGCTGAACCTGAAGGAAGTGTCAAGTCCCTGAATAATGCCTGCAAGCAGTGCTACAGTATTGGGGGATTCTCGCATCGAACTTGTGCATCCTACCAGAGGCCCCCTTGACTATGCCGCGGCATGAAAAGTGTTCGGCACCTCCAAACCCACATGGATCTCTTGCCCTGCTTCTGCTCGGAATGAGGCGACTCAACTGGAGCAGTTGGTCCCAAGATACACAACCGTTTTGCAAGCATCTTCGAGCCAATTCCTCATGTGCACCTTGAGGTTCCTGGATGGTTGCGAGGTCCACACGCACAGTGCAAAGCTTGGACTGCATAAAGCATGAAACAACGTTGCATTTGCCCCATACAACGATGTTCCGTAAAGTGTTTGTTGTTTTGCTGCTGAAGGTGCCGGCGAACTGGATGTGGTTCTCTGACGTCAAGTCGATCACATCATCATGCGGCAAATCCACCTACATGAGGGAGCACGAAGTAGGTGGTGGCGCTACTGGGGGCATAGGCTGGATTTCGATGCATGAGCAGAAAAGAGCACACCAAAGCAACAATTAGCACATCCAGGGAAACCTAAGCTTGTCGCGTGCTGTGCTATGGATCCGATGCTGAACCATCGAGTACACTACATGCGTGGGCAGCCCGAAAGTGCTGTTTGCGATTTCATTCCAGAGTTTGCAAGCCAAATAAATGCAATGAGCATTCCGAAATGTACAAGCATTGCCGGCGTAACCAAGTCGAGTCATGCCGCAGATGAGCAACAGATAACAATTGCATCCTGCGCTGCTTATGCGAGTAAAGGTCAATAACAAAAGTTTGGCCCGTCGGTGAAGCTGTCGACCGCGCACAGGACGCTCATACTCTGCACCCGAGCCCTTTCAGCTAAGCGTTGTTCAACTGCTGAGCAAGGCTATTCCGCCCCAACCGTTTTTTCCCCACCTCCAGGCCCGAAAGCTGCGTGACTCCTGATGAACACAAGGATTTCATGCTCTGGTACAAGGCTCTGCTATCCTCATCCCACAGGTCAAACTGTAGCAAGAAGCAAACTGTCCCTTCCGGCATGTTGTCCACGATCGGCCTTGTCGGATGAAATCTGCATAGAGCAACCCTTGACTGGCATTTGGAGCCGAGGGTGGTGATGGCAGCGAGTGCCTTTTCCTGCGTCCCGATGCGTCACCCACCAGCTTCTTATCATTTCTTATCCCTGGGTTCCCATTTGGTGGTGAGGAACTCCTCTCCCTCCATCCAGCCCAGCTTGGTCATGGTATTTTTGATTGACCCTTCATTGGCCAGCTTGCCAACACGTAAGTCCCCCATCTCTTTGCGCGATACGTCATCACGCCAGCTTGAGTCCCAAGAGTCCGGGGTCTTCCGGCGTGTTCCTCCTCCACCCCACTGCTGTCGGCTCCTCAGAGAGCTAAAACAAATTGGTGCTTCGGCTTCTCGTCTCCTTTGCCCTCTGGCTTGGCTTGCGTCACTTCCTCTGTGTGTCGTCAACATCCGCCACTGAACTCCTTCTGCACTGGGGTTTCATACAGTAATCAGGACTCCCTCAATGCGCATATGGCTGCACGACATCCGGATCTACGCAATGCCGCACGCATCACCTTTGACAGGCTGCGTCATGCCTTACTCGGTGTGCCTATCTGTAGGCTCTGATGTCAACGACAATTGGAGGGTCATATCACGGCAGGTCGCTGTCATCAACTCAAAATTGCCGCGGCTAAACAGATGACTGAGGCCGAACAGCATGAGCTTCCTGATCCTCCTGCCCCACCTGTGCTATTCTATATTGATGCACCGTACATCGACCATCATGCTGACCTCCTTCAGATTGCTGAACACCGGTTACAGCACCACTCAGAGCAGATTTCACATTGAGCAACCGTTGCGCGCCTTGCAACCAACAGTTCAAGTCAGGCTTGCGAGTTAAGATTCACTGGCAGCAGATACACCCGACCGAATGGAGCTTCGCACATGGTGAAACTCATTCAGCCTTGAGCAGCTTATCGTCTATATTCAGGTCGCCGTGCCAATCCTGCGGCAACAAGGCGAAGGCAGGCACTACATCTTCCACAAGCCATGCCCCGAAGTGCTCAGCCATTTTCCAGCGAAAGCGGCTAGCCGGGCGGCTCAACAAGGGACCACAGCCACTCGGGGACCATCTCAGAAATAATCAGAACCTGCACCACAACATACTAAAGCAGGCACTCCAGCCCTTCTCACAGGGTTGCACGCACAGGAGAAATCCTCTTCAATCACATCGGGGACTGCGGCGCCTACGAGTTCGCATGTGCCGATGAAGGCCGTGGCCCAAAAGCCCAAAACTCAGGCACTCTACTACCTGCTCAAAGCACCCATTCTTCCGCGCGTGATCGCCGACACCCTTGGGAGGTCATCCTATAGAGCCCCCCCGACATACACTGTGCGATGTGAACGCCAGCATCCGAGCCATCGTCCACTGCCTTGGAGCGGTCACAACATCTCGAGCCCTAACCCAGCTGCGAGAACTGGTCCTTGCGTACTCAAGACCGTTGCTCAGTCTGGCCACGCAACTCATCTTTCGGTCTCCCAGCAGCGCGACACAGCAGAGTTTGCATTACATGTGTTGAGTAAGCTTGGCTACATGACCAGTGGCTGACAGGCTCGTGTGCGAGATGATAATGGAACATACGTTCTGGACGATGGGGAACACATCGTTCATTTGACTATTGTGTCCCGGGCTCGCGCACTTCAGAACCTCGTTGATCATTGGCATCGAAGGCAGGACCACATCCATGCACTTTGGGCACCGTTCCGATATGCTGTTTTCCTACTGGGCAGGTTTCCACATGCGGGAGGATCAAGACAGCCTATATCTTCGTGCTGAGAATTCCGGTCTTCTCTGAAACCCTCAACTGCGTGGATCTCTTACCAGGTCAAAGCGATCACAACGCACAGTGGACTCAGAGTTGGTGCGGCGCACTATCGCATGCTCCTCGGCATACAGTCTGACTGGAAGTACTCGCATAACCGACAGACAGCGAGCAACACACTCTACAAGTGGTCGAGCACTCCAAAGCGTCAGCTGCTGCTGCTGCTGCTACTACTGCTACTACTACTTCTGCTACTGCTACTACTGCTGCTACTACTACTGCTACGCTGCTACTACTACTACTGCTGCTACTGCTACTGCTGCTGTTATTAGTAACACAAGACCTAGACTAGCAGTAGAGTAGTACTGGTGGCAGATGTGGTAGTGACGGTAGTGGTGGTAGGGGAAGTGGAGTGTTGCTGTTGTCGTGTTTGCTGTACTTGCGCTGGTGCAACTAAAGCTTTTGATGGCATGTACAGTGTCATTGTACAGTATTGTTGATCCTATTTCTGCGGTTTTGAATAGGCGTGCATGTCGATATTTCAATTTACTTGTCTTCGCGCGTGGTTGTAAGACTGACAACCCGAAACCGGAAATCGTGTGCGTTTCCTTCTTTGCTGCAGGCAGATCCTTGCAGCATGCCATCGACGTGGGAAAATATCTGCTACTGGCGATGTACATGGGGCACCGCAGCCAAAGTTTGAAGGCTGTACGATGGGCTGCACGGCGTCCTTGATGCGGGATTCGGACGTCCGTGTCTCACGAAGCTGAAACTTGAGTTCAGACTAGTTCAGACGCTAGCAGGGTTTGCATATAATTATTGCTGCATCGGCTCGTCTCTCATGAGGGCGTGCAATTATGAGTGCATCTGGCATGTGATCATGCGGTTTTGTTGGTCTTGCGAATTGCTTCCCGCCACCCAGCCATCGTCGAAAGCACGGCAAAGCTCCGAGCCCATGGCACGAAACCTGCATGGCAACCTGCATCCCATGAGATCTCGGGTCGGCGATCTACAAGTGTCAGCTTCCCAAATGTGTCCTGTGCGTGGTTGTAGGGTGCTGAAGGGGTAGTCCAGACTGCGCCTCACCTTTCAGATTGAGATTTTTCATCTGGTCTTGAGAAGCCCCCGAGGCATGTGCTTGCATGCCTTTGGTACTTCATGGGCAACGTCCCGGACGGTTGGGTGGCTGGCGAAGGACACTGGGGGACAAGACGGAGCTGCGCAGTCCATGTTCTCAAAACACGGAAGTAACCATTCAAATTTAAACGTCAGCTCCATCCATGGGATGGTAGATGTGCTACCCTGCCAAGGACTACTAGGCTCTTCGCTAGCCAGCAAGTATGGGGCATCGTTGCAGCTTGCTCTCTCAAGACTTCCTGCTTCGGCTATGCGCTGGAATATGGAGTTGCAAACAGATGGCGAACGCGGATTGGCCATATTCGCGACCTTCATGGCAACTTGTTGATGTTCGCAGCATCTATGTCAAAGCTCACCACGCATAGCGCGTGAAACGCTTTCCTCTGTTGATTTGTATAGAGCACTGAACCTAGCAATGCGGAGCATGTTTCGTGCGAAATGTCCGAACCCACTGAAGGCACTGGCCTTGTCTTCCGTCTTTGTCAGCAAGATGACCAACGTTATGGCAGCCTGGCAAAAAAACAGACAGCGAAGGAAGCAGGTGCTCCAATCTGTACGAGATTATTGTGCAGCACACAGAGTCGACTTCTCGTACGCGCTGAGCATGCGAAAATTCGTGGAACGCGAGCATCTCCGGAAGACAGCACAGGAGGCCCATTCCGCATTGTTGGATACTTTCCCCAAGGAGATGCTTGAGAACCTCTTTCATGAATCACGAAAGTCTTTCTTGGAATACCATCAATTCCTTTGGGGGCTATGTGCTGCAGATGCATTCCTGGAGTTCAGCATTTGCTGCAAAGCCATGAAGGAGCAGTACAGACTGCGCCACGATTGCATCTTCAATCCCAGAGAAGCTTCCAACGGAATGCACATCGTGACGACTGCACTTTGTGCCTACACTGTCCAGAGCATGCCGGTGATGCCGCGTTATGGAACAAATCCAGGCTCAGTTACCCAAATCGCAGAGAGATGCTGCTGTTTGCACCGCTGTATGGGGAATAAGCAGGAAGCAGACATCCAAGAGGATATCACCAGAATGAGCATGGGAGAGTACCTGAGTGAGCATGCGCTTTGGGTCGCAGGCTGGGAGAATAAAGTTGCGGTTTAGCTAAAGTTCGGCGAAGCTCATTTGTGGCGGATTGCACTGCACAAGGACTTCGGTTGAAGCATCTCCCTGAAAAGAATCCGAAGCAATTTTTGCGGAAACCCTAGCTTTCGGGGTGAAGGTGGGGTTCCGTGTAACATCAAATGAAGTAAGCTAAACTGTACTTAGATTTCGCCTTCCATCAATGAAAGCAGAATGGGTCTGTTTTGGCCCGAAGCTTTCACCTAAAGCATGGGGCAGTTGTGGGTTCGCTGAATCTCCTGAAGCTCTTAAAAAAAAGCTGGTGGGTGAGAAGCACATGGCTTTCAGCCTGGGCTGGACAGCAAATTCAAAGATAGTGACTTCTTGGCAGGCTGGACTCATCGTGGCAGGCTTCAGGCGACAGCGGACGGATGGATGATGACGTTGCTCTCAAGCGAGCTGATGCTTTGCAAAATCATGGCGGAGCTTGTAAAACTGTCTGGATCCCCTACAACTCAGCCGAATGATGGGATGGCAGCTGCCTAGAGTTCGGGATTGTCACTCAGGCGACGCGAAACATGAAGTTGTGAACTGAGCAGTTTCCTTTCATGAGCTTTCAAGTCTGTAAACTTTGCTCGCACGGCAGCTAAGGACGGAAACTTTGCGAGCACATCCACGTGCGATAGCAGATGTCATTCAGTACGCACGGAACTATGCCCAGGTTATCAACAATTGTGCTTCTCGGCTGTTCATTGATTTGGATTTTTCTTTGGCTCTAAGGGCCTTTACCCTAGCTCCGAAGCCAAGCCACACACCAGCATGCAAGCAGTGTCGCAGCCCCCTTCTCCGAAGCCATTGCAAGGTTGATATGTGTGATGACAAGTTGACAGACCTTCCCCTCTGCACCGGCTCGGAGCCGCTGGAGGGGTCGCGGAGTGTGAAACCCCGACGCCCTCGTCTCAGCTCCGTTGCCCCAAGCTGAGGCTGGTCTGGCAAGTTCTGGGCTCTGGGAGGGATGCAAAAATCGACGAAACATTTGCTTGTTTGGGATGCTGAACTGCTTCCTGAATCAAACCCTTCAAACCAAGGTTCCTAGGGTCCTAGAGCGTGTCCAGGTGAGTATCTGAGGCAATTGCAGATCCGGCGCTAGAGGTGTAGTTCTCCAGCATGCTTGGGATCCAGGTCTGGGAAACCTCCCAACGACTTCCACGCTAAGTGTCCAAGTGTGCTGCAGTTACGATCGACGGAGCGAATCATGTCGATGTCGCTCAGCCCTTCAAATTTTGATTTTTGCAGCCTCAACGAGGACTTCTTGGGATGCAGACATGTCAGTATCCTCTGTCGTTTGCGCTTTCAACTGCATCCCAAAATCTCAGTCGAAGGAACACTTCTTAGTATTACTTTATAGCCCCATCGCCCGTCGGCGAATGTCGCAAGGAAGACTGAGGTTGCACTGCAATAGGCATCACGTATGAGGTTGTGTTTGTGTGTGTGCTCACATGTTTCGAGCTGGCCGTTGGTCGGCAGGGGCGCTGTCTATGAATTTAACTCGCTTTGTTTTTGCAGCCTCAACGCTCGTTGTACCCTGTACTGTTTCTTTCGATGAAGAATGATGATGGCATGTTGCTACTGGCAACTCTACAGACAAAGCTGCTGGGGCCTGCGAAGACAACATCCATGTGCGATGTGTTTGAATCGCTGTGGTGACACGATCGGTTCCCCGATGCAGATGCCTTGCTTCTCCAGCATCCGGCATGCAACTTCGTGTAGCACTCAGGACTAAGCAGCATCGTACACTTGCGACATGAACATTGCCTGAGCATGATTTAGCACAGTGTATGAACTCAGCGTTGGGTGAAGGGTTGAGACAGGTTTGGAGTGAACGTCGGCCGGGAAAGACCCCAATGCGTTGTACCTTCACTAACGAGTGCAGATCATCAAGTCGACTTTGCAAGTATTGCAAGCAGTTCGAAAGCTTCGATGTCGGTGTCCTGCAACAAGGCGCCCGCTCAAGGGCCGTAGTGATGACAACGGCACTTATGCCGACACAAAGAAAGTGTCCATCCTTTGTGCCTGACGGAGTTCTCGAATCTCGCTACGGCAACAATACGCATCAGCAAGGAAATGTCATGAGCTGGCGGCATTCAGGCACAGAGGATGTCCATTGCGTTCCAGCATCAAGACTTCGGATGAAGATCGTATGCGCTGCTATGTGCCATGATCAGCGATTGCTGCGATCGGTCCGCTTGCGATCTGTCCCTTTTTTTCCTTGCCTCAGCAAGATTGAGAAAATTCGTTGACGTGGGTTCGGTTTCGGATTGTAGAGGTTTGCTCCGCTGAGCTTGGGAACCGCTAGCGAGGCCGATACCCTCACGAATTTGAGCTGGCATATGAATCTCCACAGCACACTCTATCTAATCTCTAAAGCGCTGTCTAAAGAGAAACACTCTCACTCGTTCCACTTGCCCGTGGAGCCGAAAACTCTAAAAAGCATAGTATGGCAATCGGGTTGTTTGAGTATCGGGTTTAAAGTTAGTTTGGGTGTTGGGTTATTTTTTTGAAGGCTTTGACCGTAGCCCAGCCCCGAGAGCCGGAGCCGCTCAGGCCCGCCAGGCGAAGATTTTTTCGTGACTTGAATGAATTGAGTTGTTTCGCCACCCGAGGGTTTAAGTGAATTGAGTTGTGTGG